CGGTGACTCATGGCAGCCCAGCTCCAGGTCGAGCTGTTGTTCACCATCTTAGCTGTAGAGGGCACAGTGTCACTGGCCCTCATATGGGACCCAAACAGGGGCCCTGCTGCTCAGAGCTGGTGTCCCAAGCCAGCTCTTAACCAACGCGCCACTCCGCTGGCCCGCACTTACTTTTTTTTTAATTCCAGTTTTCTTCACATACAGTAAGAGCTTAGACAAAGTCAAGGTTACTTATGTTATATTTAACTTTAAGTCTGTGACTGTAGGATAATGTTTGAAGTTAATAAGAAAATGCTTGGTTTACAATGACATTTCCTGACAACTAGAAAATTCATTGCTCCCTCCTCAATGCTACCATTAGATTTGGTGCCTATGTCTATGATGGCCTTTAACCACGTGATATCATGGTCATTATGTTAAGTGGAATGACCAAACAGAAACTCTCACACCCAGACCCAGGCTCCTTCTCTCTTGTCATGATTGGAGAACTGCCCCTTCATCCTGAAACTCTTCACCTGTGCTTTGAACCCTTCCTGTCTTCTCAGGACCCCTGTGCGTGTATTCTTACGCATGCATGTATTGTAACCTGGTCCTCTACACTGGATCTTTCTATCAGCTTTTCACATGCTACCATTAATTGTTTTCTCTCTCCCCACACCCCCTACATTTATCTCTCCTTCTCTTCACAACCGAAGCTCTTCTGTGGCAATCCTCACTTTTTCGTCTTCTTTTCCCATGGCTGACATAATGAATTACCACAGATTTGGGTAGCTTAAAGCAGCTACAATTTATTCTCTCACAATTCAGGAGACCAGAAGTCCAAAATCAAAGCGTCAGTAGGGTTGGTTCCTTCTGAAGCCTCTAAGGGAGAATCTATTCCATGCCTCTCTCCTGACTTCTGCTGGTTGTCAGCAATCCTTGACGTCCCCCACCTCCATCTTCACTGCGCCTTCCCTCTGTGTGTGTCCTCTGTGTCTCTGTTTCCAAATCTCTCCTTTTCTTTTAAACACACTAGTCGTTGTATTTAGGGCCCACCCCAATCTAGCATGACTTCATTATAATTTGATTACATCTGCAAAGTTCCTATCTCCAAATAAGGTCACATTCACAGGGGTTTAGGGCTTGAATGTATCATTCAACCCAGTATAGCCCCCATCATGGTTCCATGGCCCATTGGGTGTTTGTGGCTTATGGGCCCTGGTAACACACCTCATCCTCCCTTTGCCCCTCAGTCCTATGGGTGGAAGCAGCTTTTGCTAGAGCTAATCTCTGAGTTGCTTCACCAACCCCTCTTTGTTTATATATATGTATGGAACACTATGTGATTGCTAACAGTTAGCCATATATATCCCAAAAAATGTATACACATTTTAAGAAAGGAAAAAACTATTAAAAGTAATAATATATACCAATAACAAAAGATGAATACAAGTCACCTTTGACTTCTGCAATGACAAGAGGTGCTCTAGTGGTTACCATCAGAGTCCAGACACTTCTGATTTCGGCAAACTACTGCTTCAGCAACATTGACCAAAGTGTCCACTTATATGCATTTTTTGGCACACCCGGTGTGT